GCAATCAACAACAATTATTGAATATTTCCTGAGGACTTCACCATTGAAATTCACCAGAGCTATAGTGAAACTGACAATGCCCACGTGCATGGCAGATGGATGTTTTGATACATCGGGTAAAAAGTGGGAAAAAAAAACATTTCAATTCATGATCCTCCACGATTTGCCATCGAACTTCTGGCCAGAGAAAAGACATGTAATATGCAGCCAACATTTTAAAGAAGAATGTTTTCAAGATGACAAACACCAGATACAGCACTGGGACTTGATCAACAGCCGATACCGCACTGTGAATCACAAACCAGTAGGTGGCAGTAGTGCTCTTTGGAAAACATGGATGCCTCCAGTAAATCACATTGAAATGAAAATTACTCTTAATTAAAAAGGCTTATCATTTATTGAAAAGTATGTAATAATTTCATATTTAAAGTACTTTCAGAAGTTTGAATTCTGAATATGACCGAACTTTCCTTTCAGAAATGTCAGAAACTATGCAGAATTAAAGTTTTCTAGTTTTTAGATATCTAGAAAATAGAAAATTGATATTTTCTATTTCATCATTTATTTCAAAAAATTCTGGAGTCATGAAATGGATTTTAAAATGTAAACAATAAGAAGTTTGGATTATTAGAGGTGAAATTTTAATATTTAAATCTACCATAAACAAGGAAAGCTTATTCAGCTGAATTTTTCTCTGCCTGTTTGGGTCCAGGACACTCCCTGACCCAGTTTGTGCGCCACTGTGCCGATCACTTCCTGAACAGCGAGCACAAGGAGATCCGAATGGAAGCGGCGCGGACCTGCTCCCGACTCCTCACGCCTTCCATTCATCTGATCAGCGGCCATGTTGTCAGCCAGACCGCGGTGCAGGTGGTGGCAGACGTCCTCAGCAAGCTGCTGGTTGTTGGCATCACCGATCCAGGTGAGGAGAGACGGTTCGATCGCCAACATCTATAAGCCCATCATGGTTGACGCTGAAGATGAGAGAAGGGTGAAAATCCTGAATTATTTTCTGTTTTTCTTGCTGCAGATCCAGACATCCGATACTGCGTTCTTGCGTCTCTTGATGAGCGCTTCGACGCTCACCTCGCCCAGGCGGAGAATTTGCAGGCTCTGTTTGTTGCTCTGAACGATGAAGTGTTTGAAATCAGAGAGTTAGCGATCTGCACAATAGGACGCCTCAGCAGCATGAACCCTGCCTTCGTCATGCCCTTCCTTCGTAAGATGCTGATCCAGGTAGAGGCTTTGGTACCAATGATTCGCTGTTTAACTCCTAAAATCATAGAAAGGCAGTTAGCAGAAAACATTTCAGTCGTTTCTCTCTTTTTTTAAAACTTGTTCATAAATGTCGAGGAATGAAATAGACCGTTTAAGAGTTTATACGTATGCAATTTTTTATGGATTGTATCTAAACTAGTATGCATTTAAAATTCAGCTGGAAAAAAACATTTATTTTTCCAGTCTACAGAAAAAAATAGAAATTCTAACCCAAACCAATTCTTA